GAGGCATAAGCAATTGGTCGCTCGCTACCATCAGGCATTTCATGAGACAAGACAGCGCCGAGACCATATGACGAGCTGTCAGTAGCAAGCACAACAGGCAGGTCAGGGTTGAAGTGTGTGAGGACCTGGTCYTGGGTGAGCATGTCCTTCACTCGCCTGAAGCTATCCTCCTCTTTCTYTGTCCATCTCCATGGTTKATCCTTRGCTAAGAGGCAGTGAAGCGGGCCAAGGTGAGTAGACAGGTCCGGTAGGAACCGCGCATAGTATTGCACCATTCCTAGGAAGGATCGCAGCTGTGCAAGGTCWTTGGGTACAGGMWTGTCGACGWCTGCCTTCACCTTTTTGGGGGACTGTCGCAGACCCTCTGATGAKATGATKTGTCCACAGTACTCAACAKAGTCCTTCAGAAATGAGCATTTACCTCTGTTAGCTCTAAGTCCGTTCTCCTCCAATCTTTCTAGAACTTTATCCATGGTAATCAGATGTTCCTCCTTCGTCTTTCCACTGATAACAATGTCATCGATATAGCATTGGACTCCATCTATTCCCTGTAGAACCTGGTSCATCGCTCTCTGCCAGAGGGCTGGGGCAGAGGCTATACCATATGGCATCCTTTGATATTCGTACAACCCCCGATGRGTATTGATAGTGACATACTTGCGCGACGCCTCGTCARCCTCCATCTGTAGGTATGCCTGTTTCAGGTCAAGAACTGAGAACACTGTGCCACCGYTGAGACTCGCGTAGATGTCTTCGATGCGGGGCAAAGGGTATACATCAACTTCCAGGTAAGGGTTCACAGTCACCTTGTAGTCGCCGCAAACCCGAACGCTTCCGTCCTTTCTTCCAGGGTGCCACAATAGGTGCAGCCCAGTCGCTATGAGTAACTCTTCTTATAACTCCTTCTGCTTCCAGCCTGTCCAGTTCTGTCTCTATGAGTTTCTTCTTTGACAAGGAAACCTGTCTGGGCTTACAAAACTTTGGCTTTGCATTAGCAGTGAGAGTAAATTTTGCCTTAATGTCCTTGAGATGACCCCGATCATCCCCGAACACTGCTTTGTGTTTCTCCAGAACCTCTGTCAGGCCGTCCGGTTCCATTGCAATCAGCTTAAGTAAAGACCAGTTCAGCCACTCTCTACCAATGAGTGTTGGACCAATTCCTGRCACCACATACACGTGCAGAACATGTAGGGTCTTATTACCGGAAGTACATATACCGGAAGTATACTACACCTGGGAAGTTTCCTGCGACTGAGCATCAGGTTCTCGTCCTCTTCTTCTTTAGCTACTGTCCTTTCGTTCTCTGTCACCTCTTCAAGCGGTTCAACACTGTCATCATGAGGTCACAGGTTTTCAGATGCTGAGAAGAAACTCTCATTTGAAGAATCGGAGTCATTTTCATAGCGGTTTGCTTCATTTTCACTCTCCATTTCATAGTAACTTTCTAATAAAAACATCGAATCAAGAAGTCACGTGTTGAGTCAGTGACGTCACTGACTTTCGTCTCGGGAGATACCGCAGTCTTTAGTATTTGGGGCTCAGATATCAAGCCGATTAATGGCAGACGGGATTTTTACTACTTTCGAAGCTCGATTTCTCATATTCTTTTGACTT